GCTGACACCTTTTGCCAGGAGCGGGGGTGGGGGCACCGTGGAAAAGTGAGGGCTACCGACTTCGCTGCTGTGCTGTCTTGCAGACCGCAGTCCCAGCATCGCTGTGAGGCTTTTGTCTTCTACCCAGCAGGGGGCAGTAAAGGGCAGAGGGAGGGACAGGGAAAGGCCTGGGCTCGCATGAATTAAGCACCAACTGCATACTGGGGAGTCAGTGCATAAAGGAAACATCAGTTGCATTTGAGCCTCACAATAACTGGACCCTGCCTCCTACTCCTACTGATTTTGTTCACTTGTTTATTTTTTAGTTTCTTTCTTTCTTCCATGAGAAAAAGAGACAAAAAGAGAGAGCAAGGCCCTAATAGAGTTCATTCCACAACAGACCCCAGCTTCTGTTAGCCATAGGTCATGGGCATACATGTGCCCGGCATGTCCAGGGAGTTCTCTGGATGTGAACCCAGAACCTTCCGATGTGGGTTAGGCTTGCGAAGCATTGCATTACTGACGTGGCCCAATCTAGCCCTGGTTACTGCCGCTCCCTTTTGAAAAGTGAGGAGTGGGGCATGGAGAGGTGAACTGGTCAGCCCAAGGTCACCACCCTGTGAAGCCCACTTCAGCTCCCGCCAATCTGACACCAAGACCCACCTTGATGCTGGCAGGAGAAATCTCCTTTGGCAAGAAGGAGGCTTAGCGCATTGGGCTGAGGCCTCAGGTTCCTGCCTTGTGGCCCTAGAAGTCTTCAGAAGCTCGAAGCAGAGCTCTGCCACTGGCGACTTCTGGAGTGATAGTTCTTACCGGGCATCCTTGTGTCAGAACTGCCCCTTCCCTGGCCTTCCCTGGCTCGGTGTAGCCGAGTTGAACACAGATAATACAAATGATTCTACTTCAGTCCTTTAGATTCAGACCTGTCCACTGAGGGGGTGCTGCTGGCATCTCACAGGTGGGTGGCAGGGACGATGCCAAACACCCTACAAAATACAGACGGGCCCCACCACAGGGGAGGACCAGGGCCATGTCCGCAGTGCTGTGGGCGAGAAACCCCGACTCCACGTCTTACCTAAGCCCACCTGCAGCGCAAGACGGGGAACCGAGGCTCGGGTGAATGACTGCCTCGGTGCCCAGGCAGCCAGAGCCAGTGGTTCCTCTCAGTTTCATGTGACCTGAAGGTCCAAGGTCCATTCTGCACAGAGCCATGCCTCACTGGAAGACATCAGCCTGGCTCCAGATGCTGGCGGACCGCTCACTGCCCAGCGCTGGCAGGTTATCTACCGGGCAGGCTACACATTTTGCCCAAAACCATAACCCTGGGCTTCTCCTTTTAGAGCTTTCATGGCTCTGCAGTTGCAGCTACAACCATTGCCTCCTTTGCTAAGTGCCACACGCTGTACGAGGATTAACTCATTTGATCCCGAGGATGGCTCCCCGAGAGGTTACTCATTTCCTGGAGATCACACGCTAAGTGGCAGCTTTGGGCTGCGTACCCAGACGAGAGGACTCCTGACAGACCTCTCAGTCCTCCACCTGGGCTCCCTCCTTCAGACGTTCATGGTGGCGCCTGGACTTGGCTCCCTACTCACAGCTGAAGGCACCCCTTGGCTGGGACTGGGGGTGGGGCGGTGGGGCCTGGGCCCCCTCCTCTGACCTTCCGTGTATGTGGGCCTGGGCCTGGTCGTGCTGCCCATGTGTGTGGTCCCTGAGAGTCTGCATCTGAGACCCCAGGAAAAGATGCAGGGCCCAGAGCAGGGATGGGGGGCTGCTGCAGGGACCTCAGAGCCAGACAGGGGCCAGAGGAAAGGGACAGCGGAAGGAAGAAATGTGACTTCCTCAGGCCTGGCCAAAGTCCTCGGTGCACGCCCCGCCGTGTGACTACGGTTCCTGCAGAGGGGAAACCTCAGCACACTAACTGACCAGGGTTGCTGTCCTGGGTCTGCTGGGATTTTGGCAAGCCCAGATTTGGCAGTGGGCTCAATAAAAAGCCAAGTAGACCGAAGTACAGACATCCGGGCATGGACTGCTGCAGGCGGCCAGCTGGGGGCGGCACTGAGTTTCAGCTCTGCCCCTTCCGAGCTGCACGACCTTCGCAGGCCCCCTCTGTCCAGTGGGGACACAGTGGCGAGTGGTCCCCAATGTAAATGTGAGAACTGAAGCCAGTGTCCAGGACCAGCACCCCGCAGACCCCAAAGGGGCTGTAGCTGGCTTTGTCACCTGCTGGCTGGGTGACCTTGAACAAGCTCTTCCCCTGATTGTGTCTCTGCTCAACTGTCAAATGCGGGGGCAGGGTCTTTCCAGCAGAAGCCCTTTCAGGCCTTAAGGCTCTAGACTGGGCCACTGACCTCTCCCCTCGGCCGACCTGTTTGGGCCCTATGGGGAATGTGTTTCTCTGCACTCCATGACACAGGCCCTGCGCCAAAGAGCAGAGGAACCCCCCTCATCTCTTTTCACCACCCCACCCGGACCTGGCCCACCAGAGAAACCCTGCCTCTAAGTCCCCAGTTCACTAGTGTCCTGACCTTAGCCCAGCTTCAGCCAAATGCAGAGCCAGCCCTGCCCACCCCTCCCCACCACGGCGGGGGCATCTCCTGTCTTGGCTGAGCTCCTGGGGGTTCCATAGGCGATGCCTACAGGAGCTGGGGGGGAACCCCAGAAGCACACTGGGGCTCTCCTGGAAAGGGCCAGCTGCCCTTCTCTCTGCAGGGACACCCCTTTCTCCAGGAAGGAGAGCACCTGGCTCAGGGAGAACACACTGGGTGTAGTCCCAAGAGAGTGTGTGTGGCGGGACAGGGGTGAGAGAGGGTCCCCCATCCTGCTGCCTGGAGGCCCTCTCCACTGCCAGAGTTCGGAGGTCCAGGAAGAATCTCCTGGCCCAGGATCTCAATTTTAAGGGCTTCAGTCTTACTAAATCTTCTTACAAAACCTCCTCTGGTCTTACCTCTGGCCAGGGCGAGTGAGAAAAGGTGAGCTGGAATTAGGCGGGGCAGCAGGTGTGGGAGCGATGCAGGGTGAGTGGAGGGCTGCTTGGGACAGGTGTGGGGGGTTCAGTAGGTGGGCTTTGGGTGAAAGGCTTAGAGGGGGACGAGAAGACCTAGACTTGGTCAGGGCTGGGGCAGACCCCTGCTCCACTTCTGACTGTGAGAGCCCCAGTCTTACATCTTACTAGAGGAAGACGGGAACTCCAAAACCTTCAGCCTGGCCGTGTGGGAGACAACCTCAATCTCCTTCCAGGGGAGGGCCTCCAGCAGGGTGGGAGGGGGACGGTCTATCTTCAGAGTCCGGTTTCAAAGGGATGCAGGGAGGTCCCTGTGGGGTTGGAGGTGACTCTGGGTCCTGGCCTGGGGGGGATTTCCTTGTCTGGAGGAGAAGGGCACGGAGACCTGGGAGCAGGAAAGCCCCTCATCGTTCTAAGGAGGGGCAAGGCAGAGCTAAACTTAGTTCTCTAGCGATGGGGAGGAGCATCCGTCTCCGGAGAGATGAGGGGCCGCTGGGGGGGACCCACTTTGGGGGCCACATTCTATTCCAAAGGGTAAACTGGGAAGGAGAGCGCTGTGTCTAGAGCTGGGATCAGGAGGAAGGGCCCATTTCGGGGGGGGAAACGAGGCAACTTTGTTCTGCGGGGGTCGCAGACCCTCTCTTTTCGGGGAGGAGACCCACATCTTGGGAGGATGAGGGCCCAGTTTCTGAGAGAAGATGCCCGGCTTTGGCTTCCTTGGGGGCAGGACAGAAAGACCCCACCGCGGTTCCCCTCGCAAGGGCCCGCCCACGCGACCCGGCGCCTCGGCCTTACCTCCAGGCCCTGGCTAGGATCTGCGGGCTCCGACTTGCCGGGTCTGCGCCCTGCGCTCCGCTGCGCCGGGTGTCTGCTCCGCTTCCCCCAGCGACTCGCAGGACTCCCAGGCTTCGGCGAGAGGCCCCGGCCAATCCGCGCTGCAGGACCCGGCCCTCGGTCGCGCCGCAGCCAAGGCGGGGCGCGGGGAGAGTCCGGCCTTCGGGGGCGGAGGAGACTCGGGCTGGTGCGGAATGGACCTGGGGGCCGCGAGGAGGGACCGCGAGGGCCGGGAGCAGGGCTGGAGCTGAGCAGACTGCCGAGGACGCCCACCAAGTTCAGGGGAGATGAAGATCCTGTCGCTAAGAAGGGGAGGGGGCGTCTCTATAGGTTGATTTAACCTGGATCTTAACGCCCCCCCCCTTTTTTTTTGACCCTTGGGGCTGCAGGCGAGTGTAGCAGCCCCTCCTCCACCCGGTGCCTCGTTCTGGTCTCGGGAACCCTAGGATGGAGTCAGAAAGGTTCCTTTTGCAAAAGAGGGGGAAGAAGCACGTGCCCTCCCCCAGTGAGGGAGCTCAGAGCCCTCTCTCAGCCCTCCCAGCTGCCGGGCCTGTCAGCTCCGGGAGACAGCTAGTGCACGTGGGGCAATGCCAGCAGCCCTGGGCTGGGTACCCACCTCTCTGACCCTCGGTTTCCTCCATAGTAACTAGGGCAGTAGTGGTGTACCTCCTTCACGGGTGTAAACGTGACGGTAGGTGTGATGAAGGGGCTTTCATCCGATTGTGAAAACCAGCTAATACCACGCTGTGGCTGACTGATGGCCTGGAGCTTTCTAAAGGTACTTGGGAAGAAGAGCAATCGTTCCCTGATAAAAGCAAAGACTTGGGAAACTGCTCATCAGAACCGCTTGAGATCACCCTGTGCACACGGTGAATGGACCAAGATTCCAGCCTTCAGAGGCCATCAAAAAACAGGGCTTGGTCCCCACCCACCCACCCACCCCCAGCCACCCACAGGCCACTGTTCCCCTGGTCTGTTGGAATCTTGCAGAGGCTTTAGGTTCCTCCTTCCTGCTGGCCAGGGACCCAGGCTACCCTCTCTCTGATTAGTTACAGAGGGTTGTAGTTTTGGTGACTAAAGAATGAAGACAAACGTAAAACAAAGCAATCAATAAAAACTACTAAACAACCTACCCACCTCCTAGAGAGGTCTGTGACCTTCAGGACCACAAAGAAACAAGAAGTGGGAATAACGCAAAGGAATAGGCGGGTGAGGAG